CTCTCCACACAATTAGCTCATGTGAAATCTGATAGGGTACACCAAACATGAAAAAGAATGTGACTATCTACTGATAGGAAAGCAAGAGTATTAAGCATAAAATCTGTGAAAATATGGATTGAATCCAACAAATAACATGCTTAGTCCAGACTTACAACATCTGGGCTCTTTTGTAGGACCTTGGCTATTGATAACCCTCCATGATGTCCAGAGACATGGGGCAGATACAAGCACAAAGAACTCTAGTAAGTGACAGGAAGAACGAGAGACATCTGTAAAATCTATAGAGCTTGAGAAAATAGAGGTCAGGGAATGAGGTACTTCAGTCTGGTATAAATGGAGCCAAGGGAGAGAGAGAGTGTGTGTGTGTGTGTGTGTGTGTGTGTGTGTGTGTGTGTGTGGTGTCAATATTATGAGAGATGACCCTGGACCAATAGCCAAATTCTATTAATACCAATTCAGATGTTCAGTCTTTCTCTGTTTCTAGGGAAACATTAAACATTTCCAAGCACAAGTGTGACTTGATGAGATCTGTGTTTCAGGAAAGTAACACTAATGGCGGAGGGTTAAACAGGCATCCAGTGCACAAACTCCCACAGTGGCCTGAGGGGTGAATTGCAGCCTCATTCAGGGCCATGGACCTGGGGTGAAGAAGAGGTGGCAGGTTCTCATCCTGTTTGAGAGAGGACTTGTCTGGTTGGAAGTGTATAGTGAGGGATAAGGGGCTGGTAACTCCTAAGTTTCTTGCTTGAATAATTGAAAGGATGAAATACACTTTCAGAGAAAACATTGGTTGTACAGGGTCAGCTTGCAGTCACGACAATTAATTAATTAAAAAGCTCAAAATCAGATCTATGGGTCCTTAGGCAAGTTGTAGACAGAACAACCTAGTTAGCTGGCTGAAATTTTTACTTCTTGGTCTATTGTGGGGGGGAGGGGCATCAGCTGGGCATAAACCAAAACAGGCTCATACACAGCCAGCAAGTAATTCCTCTAAAAGCCCTCTTAGCTTTTAGGTCTGGCTTGAGTACTCATCAAAGAGTGCTACATATGGGGTGCCCGGGTGGCTCAGTCGTTAAGCACCCAGCCAGGTCACGATCTCATGGCTGGTGAGTTTGAGCCCAGTGTCAGGCTCTGTGCTGACAGCTCAGAGCCTGGTGCCTGCTTCGGATTCTGTCTCCCTCTCTCTCTGCCCCTCCCCTGCTTGTGCTCTGTCTCTCTCTCTCTCCCTCTCTTTCTCAAAAACAAATAATCATTAAAAAAAAATAAAAAAAGAGAGTGCTACATTTTTCTTAATCTTGTAACCTAAGGATGAAAGGGGGCTGATCACTGCAAAGAAGAGATAGGCCATGGATATATTTTCCCAGACAAAGAATATTTTGAAGGATTAAATGATAAAACCTTAATAAGGATGGACTTATTATTTACCTTGTTCATGGTATTTGCTTTTTCCTTATTTAGTTTTTTTACTTCTTATGGACTATGTACTTGTGTGCCGATTGTGGATTAAGAAAAGAAATAGTGATTTTTTTGATATCTTCTCCCCCACAAGGATCAATTCTATTGCTTCAAACAAGATCAAATCTCATTGGAATAAATAGAATTTTTTTCTGACCACACTGAATTCTTATATATATAGCATGACACTAAAATCAACCCTGTAATTTATTCCCTGCATATAGCACTCTCATAAGAATTGGAGGGATTTAGTTTATTAAACATTTTATAAATGAATGGAAATGTGGCCACATTTTATACTCTTCAGTTAGAATTTTACTTCTGGAATGAGCCTTTATCATTGGGGATTTCAGTCTATAATTGAGAAGAACAGGGCTTTAATGTGTGAAAACACATTTCTGTAAATTGCATTCACTCCAAGCACTGTTCTCCACCGCTAAAATCAAACCCAAGTGAATAATCATTCTCCTTGGTTATGCTTCGTGACTGGCCCTATGGAAAACATGAATGAAATTGCATTTTCTTAGGCAAAGTTTTGTTATTGTTGCTGCTTAAAACCGTAAATAAGACATTTTTAAAATGTTTTGTACAACTAATTTGATGATTTTCTTTCTTTTTTTTTTTTTGTGATAATTCTATTCTTTCTCTCCTCTCTACAGAGTCTGGGCTCTTGCTGTTCTTGCTCTCCAATGCACATTGCCAGCCATGGCCTACCAGGATCTTTTCCCCCAAAACACGGTATGCAACTTAAGGAGGCACTGCGTCCGTTTCCCTCACTACCCGGAGCTGACATTTCAAAAAGTACTTCTCATCATGCTTCTGCAGAAGGTCTGAAAAAGCCATAACAAAATTATCAGATTGTTAGCGTGGATGATGGGAATGGGTCATTTCTTTTCCCTTTTCAAAAACAGAGCAAGAAACCAACTGTGTTTGTGTGTCAATCAAGCAGAACTGATACTGAAGTTTGCATCTTCACAGGATATGACAGGTCAGTCCACAGTCACAAATGCTTTAGAATTCATTGCAAAACACAAGCAATGGCTGGTGTGATCCAGGCCTCGTTTGATGGCAAAAGTCATGCAAAGGCAAATTCAGGCCCCTTTGTCTTCATGTTCCACGGGGAGTTGGCAGCCCACATGGGTTTTTCAGGGCACTGGATGGCCCTACCCCATAGGAGAACTCTTCCTGTCTGTGAACCTAGTCCCATCAATGTTATGATTATGGCACAATTCGTATTTGGAGCCTTAGAATTTATTTCCTCCTCAGTGAAAATCAGCTTATTAGACCCTTTCCTGAGGAGCAGGAAGCAGAGAACATTGGGCAGGAAGAATAGGGAGCAAAATCTTTAGGAAACAGGGTCCTGAGATCAGAGACAAACTTTGACACCTGACATTTTTGCATAAGCTCTGCCCTGGCACAAATCTGCCATGTTGAGGTTAGCCAATGTGAGTTAAGTAAGGACATACCGGGCAAGAATCACTCGCCCTTTTGTTATTTCTGAAACCTGAACTGCTTTTAGAAATAAGGGCTGGAATGTTCCATAGGAACTCAGAGCATGGGACACAGGGGCATGGCACACACTCGGTGTGGGCTATTTAAAAACCAGTTCCTTGGCTTCCCTCTGTGATTCTAAATACGTGGAATCACATTACCCCGCAGCAGCCGGTAACTATTCCTATAACACTGTCCGGCATCTGTGCCTGTGAGGCTGGTCCTCCAGCAAAAACAAAGTAGGGGCGTTCTGACTGATGGGGTTGCTCTATCCAGGTTTTCTGTGTCACAGCTAATGTCTATTCAGTGTTGGAATATTAGTATGTGTTGACCGACCCTTCTTGAGTTTTAAGGACTGATCTATTTAACTATCCTGGGGGGAAGGAGGTGCCTCAGCTCATCAAAAGGATGCTTTTTAAATGAGCCATTTATTTATTTAACAAGTGGACAACAGAAGCACAATGTATCGCGTTTTCAGATACAACCAATTCTTACGCTATAGAAGGATTCCAGCACTGGAGACTTTGCCTCTTCATGTGCTCTTTGCCTGACTCTTTTTTGGGTCTGTTTGATGTGTAAACACTTCCTCTAATCACACCACTAGCCATCAATCAGGTAAATCCCTTAAGAATATCCTACTCAATTGTGTATCACTCAAAGACATTAGCTGGTAGAAAGACATTAGCCAACATTGTTACATAATGTCATAACACCTGATCGGGGTTGTGAATCAATGACATAGACAAACCAGTTTTGGGATTTCATATAGATAAAGCAATATATTAACAGATTTAACCGAGTTTGTTTTTTTTTTAGCTTTATAGCTTTATGTAAAAAATTAAACCTCCACCTTTTGTAAAATGTGTAAACAATTTTTCATACCTGATGCCAAGCATTTTATCTACTTAAATCTTGATTATCTCTGGTAACACTCCTTCAATGCATTATCACCTCCATTTTACAGATGAGGAGACTGAGGCTCAGAGAGATTTAGTCATTTGCACAAGATTCCATGTCTAGTTTCTAACGAATAGTGGGGTTAGATTTACACAGGTCTCTCCAATTTCAAATCATGCTGTTTGTCTCTCTCTCTATAACTTAAAACAGCCAAGATGGCCAATTAAGGCAAGAAAACAAAAAACAAGCAAGCAAAAAACTTGGGTCCTGAATCATGCAGTTCAGATAGCCAAAACTCAGTTGACTGACAATTGGCTAAATTTCCTCCTGGACCCATGTCACTACAACTCTAATCTGTTGCCTGATACCTGAGTACCAGGGGACCTCTTGACCCTCACGTGGTCCTGCTCTAAGGACTAGCACTCCAATGGCCCCAACATTACACGTCCGAACAAATTATACATGTGATATTGTGCCTGCGGAGAAATCTGATTTCTTAGTCAAATATTGTTTTTTGACTGTTTCGAGACATAGACTGAATATGTGGTTCCCTCGTGGCTAACTCAAAACATACAGCAAAGACTAATCCTTTGCACTATCCTATATTAATATTTTCCTTCCCTCCTTGTAAGTTATAAATTACAGGAGATTAGAAAACAATCTCACGAGAGTTAATATATTAAGGAGTTACCTCGAAGGAACCCGGATTTGTTTTTCCCCACATGGTAAATCATACAGGGTAGCAGCCAGCCCCAGATCCCTGGGAGACAACATCTTGAGCGCATATGTTAGGCAGGGTTCTGTATGGACTAATTCAAAAACTCCAGGGCGAAATAAGCAAAGTTCCCAAGTCAAAAATGAAAGTAAAATAGTGGCATGGAATTGGGATCATTGTTGCAAACATTCCAACAACTTCATAAATAGCCATGAAAGTAGACAGCATTACAGGTTAGCAAATGTACCCTTGCAAGAAACAACCTGCACTGCCCATGTCAAGTCGCAAACAAACCCAGCTACCTCTTACTTTACTGATATTCTTTTTCTTTCCAGAAACACAGTCACATTTGACAAAATTAATACTGAGATCGCTTTACTAGAGGGCTTATCCAAATATATGCTATATTAAAAATAGTCATGATATAAATATTTCTCACAAGAGCTGCAGCGATGGTGTGAATAAAAAACTCCCTTCTGAGATTTCAGTAAAACCAGATCTCACAAAGGATCTGAAAGAAAACAAACAAAAAACAGACAGACAGACACAAAGAGACACACACACACAGAACAAACCTTATGTTAATCCGGTTTAGCAAAACAGTCACTATTTTGACACTATTTTATGAAGTACGATACTGTTCCTTCCCAGATGAAGTAGGAGAGATGAATCGGCTACAGGTTTCCCACAATAATGTTCAGGGGTTGGGGGGTCTCTAAGCAGGTTCCATAGCAGCTAATAAAAATCAAAATTTCTAAATGCAGCAAAATGTTAGCATTGTCAAATGGCCAAGCACGCAAGAGGAATTTCTCTCTCCATGCCCTCCTACTGATACATACAAAAAGCCCCAAATACATCGGCTGGAATTTTTAAATCGTAAATTAGATATCAAAATGCTTACGGGCCTTACAATGAGATAACATCAGGAGGAACGGTGCGTGGAATGGATCTGGCATTCTCACATAAAGCATTATCTTTGGTACAAGTACACACGGCAGGGCATTTTGGCTTCGCTGGTTTCTTCCCCTCAGTCAGCAAAAGCGCAGATAAGAGACATAGGAAATAAGCGATTCTTTTCAGGGGGATGCAGGCATTTCCCATCCTTTGGCTTCTCTCTGATTCCATGCAGTCGAAAAAATATCCCCAAACATGAACAGGGCTTCTGGAATTCAGCTGGTGATTGTCTTGCTCTGAGACCAGGTCACACAGGAGTCCACCCTTTTCCTTTGCCTCTCTGTATCTCTGCTTTTCAAACCGGGGACCTGCAGCTGATTCGTGAGCTGCTCTTCGCTCCAGCAATGCGCTGCTCCGGGAAGAGACCTGTGAGGTGCTGTGTGATGGGAGGGACCCAACGGCTGGAGGAGAGAGCCGACTTGCATCACCACGAGAACACTGAGCACAGACCAGCCTTCAAAGGCAAAGTGAAGTGATGTAACAGAAAATAAACAGCGTTCCGCTTGCACGGGGAGGCTCTTTAATTGTTACCAAAAATAGGATGGCTTTCTGTCTTATTAGTGGGTGGGTGGGTGGGAGCAGTCATCTTGTATCAGATCTCGGCAGTCTCAGAAACCTCTGGGAATTTGCTTTGCATGTAGCAAACCAAAAACTCGCTTTGGAGCCAGCCCTGGCTGGAAAAATGAAGTTAAATGAAACTCTCTCCCTCTGCAGCATTTGGCTAAAACCTTGGTAGTTTTTGCTGAATCCACCTGACTGATGCCATCGTTGAAAGACAAATGAGAACACATGGAGAATGTGACTTTCAGGGAATGAATGTGAGTAAATACTTTCCTGACACTTATCAACAGTTATGAATTATTGGTTATCATAATACCTCCCTCCCCCCCATATGTAAGCCATCCTCTCCTTCCCCAATGAGGTGTGGAGATGGCAGTGTGGACTGCCTCTGTGCATAATCCACTTTCCTCATTTCTCACTCCCCCTGTGTTAGTAGTGGAACCAGAAGCCTGAAAGAGCTCCCTGCCAGCAGGAGGCAGCCAACTTTGGCTTCTCAGGGCCCTGAAAAGATCCTGGTTTAGCCCAGGAGGCTCAGACAGGGTGGAGGAAGCACTGGACTAAGAGCCGGAGACCTGGTGTTGAGGTCCCAGTTCTGCCACAAACTAGCTGATATTATCCCTGCATCTGTTCCCCTGCCTGTGAAATGAGGATGGTCGCCAAGGTGTTCCATAAATATTATGAACATTAAATCAAAACGGTAGGCTACGTTACTGTCACATTTGATGGAAAAGAGAAATGTACCCTTGGAATAGGAAATTAATTTAAAGAAGAAAAAAAAACACAACAGTCCTTGACATTGGGATAGGGCGGTATAGTCCAAGAGGGTGGGAAGACACTTAGCTTGGAGGACACGTTGGAAAATAAACTGTGGGTCCTCTTACCATGCTGAAGTCGGCTATCCCTAGAGCTGGCACAGCTGGCCAGGGGATGTCAGTCTGCAATCCTTTCTCCTGCTCAGCTTCTTAGCGGAGAAATGTTCTTAGGAACATTTGAGCAAAGGTGTGATTATGACATAAACTCAACCTCTATGGGAGCTTGATGCATTGTCAGTTTACCCAGCCCCCCTTTCCCTCGCATCACATGCTCATGCCTATCACTTGTTTAATCTCTATAAACTCTGGAGGCGG